AAAAAAATGTGTACCCTTGAATTGTCTATTGGACGGATTTTTTATTACAAGAATATAAATATAAATGTAAAGCTTATATTATAAATTCTAGGTGATAGAAGTACCCCCTTGCAGTAGTCGTAAAAAAAATAAATTATCGCTTGGTCATTTTATTACACTAGCGTAAACAGGGGGCATTAAGCATTCTTAGCATTTTAAATTTGTTTTTAACAAAATTTACAGAAATCTTTCTTAAATAAATACATACATACCGCAGATATAATATTTTTCTCTTTAATAGCTACTTACACTGTTATATTAAAGGAAATTTCTCTATCTTGCAAACGCTTTTTTACAAGCATATCAAGTCCTTTGGCAGTTTTTACAAACTGTTTTTTTCCATCAAAACTGTTTCTACATTCAACTTTAGTACTTTTAAATGTAACTTTTCTCCTAACAATGTTATATAATTAGATAACTTTATACGGCTCCAATAATGTTTCTATTACTCAAACTTCATGCATCACTGTACGATACTTTTTTACATCAGGTCCACTTGCTACTGGGTAGCCTTTCCCTGGAGAGGATTCCATATTTCAGAACGTCCGCTCCTCGCTGGTTAAGCTGGTGCTCTCTGCCGGAGCATTGGATGCAGGCTAATTAGCATCCCCGATGAAGCCCCATGTTTCAGGGACCACTCCTCGCTCGTAAGGCCGGCGATCCCTGCTCATCGCATCGGATCCGCTAATCCCAACCTATAGCCCTAACACTGTTTTACAGTCCCGAAGACCTGCGGGGCAAGGAAAAACCCCTGGAATTACTCTAAAGGAACATTCCACGGAAAAACCCGCCCCGAAACAGCCGGGGTTACATAAGAACTTTTCCCGATGAAAACTGTTTTTGAAAAAATCTGCATTCATTGGGAATTAAACCCACGACCCTTAGAACAGGGTTATATTAGTAACAAACACGCTTACCAGTGAGCCAACACCGTTCTGACTTTTAGAGTAGTTATTCTGATACCTCATTTTGGTTGATTACCGATAAAATTCGATTGACTGTATAGCAAAAGAAATAATGTTATTGAAGATATAAGTGATGAAAACACGATTCATTTACGTACACAGGTTACAAAAATTGTTAATAAAAACTGATAAAGTGTATATTTAAGACAATATTAAACATACCTGACAGTTTTACGAAACATCTTACTCGAAGACACAGACATATTTAATATTTATAAGGACAAAATAATAAACAACATTGACAATTATTAGCAAAGTTTAATGTATACACTTTATTACCAGTTACTTTTTTTTTCTCTTAAAAAATAGTTAAGAATAACAAGAAAAATCATAACCCGTACTTATTTGTAAAAACCGTTTTTTTAAAATTTGTAGCCTTACACTAATGTTTAAATAATTTTCTATAATTTGTTATCAGTTAACCATTACTTAATAAAATCAGGAAATTCTTTTCTAGGGTATTATCTTGTAGCTTGTTATCACTAAATGTTACTAATTGATACTGTAGTGGAAGCAAATGCAAATGCAGATGTATGAATAAATAAGCTCTTGGTCATGCGTTGGTTTTCTTATTTTTTTAAAACTTGGTTAAATACTACTATGCTCTACCTTTTGCTCTGATTCTTGCTCTGACATCATGCTTTTTTTTCCCTTTCTTAGGTTTTTATATTTTTTGCGAAGTTCATTTGATTTTCATTACTGTAGTTATTTTCCATTATTTTATCCAAAGAGCCATGTGCATTTTAATAAGGGACTACTAATATCCTTTTTAGAACTTCAGCAGAATTCTACAAGTAAAAGTTTTTTCCTAATGAGGTTAACTGTAATCACGTATTGATATAGATATTTTATTCGCCTTTTGTCACACGTTAGATAAAAATTTAAGAGTAATAAGTAAATAAATATTTTCTTGTAAGTATAGATTTAGCTGCATCGTGAGGTTCATTCGCTTTTACAGTATACATTGGTGATGTCTCGGCGTTGTCGCGATAGTCACATTCTAATAGAAATCAAGATAATTAACGATGAAACCTTTAGAATCCGAATAGATAATTGCACTGACACCCTCATTCTTCCTTTCATCGAGTGGCTCACCTGAAAAATTTTGTTGACAAAACATTATTTTTCCTGTTTCAAAATAAGTTTATTTACCATTTCTTAAAATGTTTGAGGTACACATGATTCTAGAAATCATATGAAAATACTCTCGCATAGAAATATAAGCTATACTGTTTACATTACCAAATATAAATTATGAATATTATTATAAAAACAATTACAACAAACTATATAAGGTTACATGGTTGGCGTCAGTGGTTTTGAATATAAAGAATTTCATTATCTAAGTTTTCGAATTTGTTCATCGATATTTGAAAAGTAAATGGAATCAATTCAGGTACATATACTTGGGTAATTTTTCTAACTTAATAAATAAAAAATATTTAAAAAAGTTTTTGGTCTAGTAGCGTAGCAGCGCCATGGTGGCATACATCATGTAGTATAGAACTTCTAATTGTGAGGCTTCATAGTTAGACAACGTGAATATTTTAAAGGGAAATAAAACCCCAATTTTTTTGTTTTTTCATAAATAAATTATTATGTTAATTTGAAGAATTTTAAACTGCAATGGAAGCATCTCTAATTTTGTTGCTATAGATGGGGCTACAGTTATAAAAAACCGTACTAAATAGACTTTTTTTTTACTCATTAAGAATTTAGTCATTTTAAAATACTACTTCATAAGTACTCACAAGTGTTGATTCGAAATCTTCGGTCAATTTCCGAAAAATCAAAATAACAGATCCAACATATTGGATAATGATACAGAAATCGTTAATTATTAAAATGAAAATCGTTTTTATCCATTTTTCATTAAATCTTTGTAAAAAAACATATCTTGTAAATATGTAATTAAAGGCATTGTTTTCCAATAAAAAAATTATTGATTCTCAAATATTGCTTATGACATTGCGTTTGAGCAACAAAATCGAGAAATCTACAGGAGTTAGTCCTGTACACATTTGGTCAGAACTCAGATAATACTAATTAGTTGTAAACTTTTCATAAACGTGGCTAAAATACACTCTTAAAAAATCATGTCTAAGTCTTCAGGCAATGATAAATAAAATAAAAAACGTGTTTCAAGTTAACGAAAAAATTCGTAAATTTTTTTACTTAAAAATGATGCCTTTAATTAAATAATAACGCTACTTTATTTTGTATTATAATATAGCGTGGGATGCAATACAAATTTTGTTATTTCAGCAATTGATAATTTCTGCATCATTGTCTACCATTATGATCTGTTATTTTGATTTCAAAAAATAGACTGAAGAACTGAAATCAGCACTTTTATCGGCTGATTCAAT